GTGTGTCTGTCCCTGTGTGTGTGTCCCGGTGTGTGTGTCCCGGTGTGTCTGTCCCGGTGTGTGTGTCTGTGAGTGATCCCGGGCATCGAGCGAACCCGCGGGCCGTGCACAGCGCCCTGGGGTGGAGCAGGGCCGGGAGCACCTTCCCCGCCCTGCCCTGTGTTCCTGTGCGCACTCTGGTGTTCTCTCGGCATAGGAAGCCCTTTCCGTTCCCTTTTCCCTCCTGTCCCCGTGTCCTGGCTCACCCTCTGCGGTTCCTCGGGATGGAGCAGGGCCAGGAGCAGCTTGCCTTCCCTGCCTTCCTGTCCCTGCGTCCCGGTGCACACTCTGGTGTGCCCTAGGGGTGGAGCAGGATAGGAACCCCTTTCCATTCCCTTTTCCTGTCATCCCTGTGTCCTGGCTCACCCTCTGCTGTTCCCTGGGGATGGAGCAGGGCTGGGAGCCCTCTCCATTCCCTTAACTTCCTGTTTCCAGGTTCACACTCCAGTGTTCCTTAGGGATGGAGCAGGGCAGGGAGTCCTTTCCATTCCCTTTCCCTTCCCTCCCTGTGCCCTTGTTCATGTGATGTGTTCCCTGGGGATGGAGCAGGGCAGGGAGTCCTTTCCATTCCCATTCCCTTACCGTCTTGTTTCCAGGTTGACACTCTAGTGTTCCTTAGGGATGGAGCAGGGCAGGGAATTCTTTCCATTCCCTTTCCCTCCTGTCCTCGTGTCCTGGTTCACCCTCTGGTGTCCCCTGGGGATGGAGCAGGGCCAGAAGCACCTTCCCCTCCATGCCCTCCTGTCCCTGTGTCCCGGTGCACACTCTGTTCCCTGGGGATGGATCAGAGCTGGGATACAGGGATGGGAGGGAAAGGGGTTCCTGACCCTGCTCCATCCCTAGGAAATACTGGAGTGTGAAGCTGGAAACAGGAAGGTAAGGGAATGGGAATGGAGAGGGCTTCCTGTGTGCTGCTCCATCCCGTGGGAACACTAGAGGGTGAGCCAGGACATCTGCTCTATCCCAAGGGAACACTAGAGGGTGAGCCAGGACATAAGGACAGGAGGGAATAGGAATGGAAAGGGCTCCCATGCTGTGTTCCCTGGGGATGGAGCAGGGCAGGGAGTCCTTTCCATTCCCATTCCTTTCCCTCCCTGTGTCCTGGTTCACCTGCTGTGTTCCCTAGGGATGGTGCAGGGCAGGGAACCCTTTTCCACCTGTCCCTGTGTCCCTGCTCATGGCAGTGTTGGTGGATATCATGGGAAATCAGCTCTGCTTGGCGTTAAGTTGTTCATCACCTGACTCATGTTTTGTTTTCTGACTCTTTTTCTCCTTCTCCAGGAGGAAGTTTGGCCTCTGCTTGAGGATTCTGACAAGGGGTTGGAATGGCCCCTGGAAAACTAGCCCAATCTGCTCTGTCCGTGGCCGTCACTAAGCTGCTGCTGGAGTGATTTGCTGGACAGTGTGGGAGCTAAAGTGTGTTAAAATGCCTGAAATCAAAGTCACTCCCTTGGGTAAGCTGAGTTTAAAAAGATCCTGGAATTCCAGTACTGACAACCTGTGGAATTTAGAATTCAGAGTGACATGTATCAGATTACAGGAGCCACTGGGGCCTTTCTGTGCCCTAGAAACTGCCATGGTGGTACCATGAGGTGCCCTGATCTGATTCTTGTCAGCATCTCACTGTCCTTTATTTTTCAGTCATAAGTCTTGATTATAGGATTAATCCATCAGGATTAATTAACACATTCTGGCAGACACTCTGTGCTGCTCTGCAGTATAGGTTGAGCATTATTACAGTGATAAAGAGACACAGGAATAAATCTCTTTTTTCTTGTTTGATCTTTTTTTATGGTTGCACAGAACCATTCTCTGCCCTGAGAAGGCAGAGGATGCTTTATCCCTATGGATAGTTCTGGGGCTTGGGATGGATTTAACTGGAGCCTGATGAAGCTTCCACTGAGGGCAGAGGAAATTGGGATCATTTGGGTTTTACTTGGAACTGTGGCTGTGATTGCACAGCTCCTTAACTCGGATGGATCTGTTCACTTGGAAGGCAGGATGGAGCTTTTCCCTGCCCAGAAAAGGACCAGGGAGTTCATATGGACCTTTAAATATTCCCAGTGGTGTCTTACTTGGCTGTGCTTTGCTTGTGTGCAGGAGCTGGGCAGGATGTGGGACGCAGCTGTATCCTGGTTTCCATCGCTGGGAAGAATGTGATGTTGGACTGTGGGATGCACATGGGCTACAATGATGATGTGAGTGTGCTGGGGGAAGGAATGGGGGGATGGGTTAGGAATGGTGTATGGGGGTGAATTGGGAATGGTGTGTGGGGATGGGATGGGAATGGTGTGTGGGGATGAGTCCAAGGTGCCTCAGCTTGGCCCTTCCCAGCAGGACTCATTGTTCCACTCTGTTCCCTTTTTTTGATGCCTGGCTCACTTTACATAGCACAGGGATAGGGATAGGGGTGTGTGTGTGGAATCATGGAATATCCCCAGCTGTATGGGGGTGAATTGGGAATGGTGTGTGGGGATGGGATGGGAATGGTGTGTGGGGATGAGTCCAAGGTGCCTCAGCTTGGCCCTTCCCAGCAGGACTCATTGTTCCACTCTGTTCCCTTTTTTTGATGCCTGGCTCACTTTACATAGCACAGGGATAGGGATAGGGGTGTGTGTGTGGAATCATGGAATATCCCCAGCTGGAAGGGAAAGGTTCCTTCCCAGGTTGGAAGGAAAGGCTTCCTGCCTCAGTGGGTGAGACTGAATGTGTTGGGCAGCTGTTCTGCTTGGAAGAGAAATTTGGCTGTAATTTATCTATTCTGGGGCCATTTCCCTGTCTGTCCCCTGACAGCTCTTCCCTCCTTTCTCTTTCCTCCTGCACACGAATGCTGGGGGTGTTGCCTGCAGCTCTTACCTGCTGTTTTGTCTTGAGATGATGGATCAGTGTTTCAGTCACAATTCCCAGTGTTTCAGGCCCTTCCCACTGCTATTTTGTGGCCTCAGTGCTGCAATATCCCTTGGCTTTGTTTCCTAATGTTTTGCTGTTTTATCACCCGTGCAGAGACGTTTCCCTGACTTCTCCTACATCACCCAGAATGGGAGGCTGACTGATTTCCTGGACTGTGTCATCATCAGGTGAGGAACTTCCTTCCCTGGCACAGCTCAGTGGGAGATGGGAAAGCTTTGTGTGCTGTGTGACAACCCAAGCGCTCATATTTTCACTAGTTCCTCTGTGCCATGCAGAGCTTTAGAAGTCTGAAGCAAGATGTGAGATCCAACCAAGCTAAATTCCATGCAGCATCTCCTCTCTCCCTTGTTTTCTTCCTGCAGCCACTTCCACCTGGACCACTGTGGAGCACTGCCCTACTTCAGTGAGATGGTGGGTTATGATGGGCCCATCTACATGACACACCCCACCAAGGCCATCTGCCCCATCCTGCTGGAGGACTACAGGAAAATCACTGTGGATAAGAAAGGAGAAACCAACTTCTTCACTTCCCAAATGATTAAGGACTGCATGAAGAAGGTGGTGGCTGTGCATCTGCACCAGACAGTGCAGGTAAAGGGGCAGAACCACAGATGGTTTGGGTTGGAAAGGATTTTAGCTCACCTCATTCCAGCCTTTTTCCATTTTACTTTTTCCTTTCTGTTTATTTTTATTCTTTTCCTATTTTTTCCTTCTTTTTCCTTTAACTTCCATTTCTGTTCCCACTCCCCAGTGCACACCACCTACCCCAACCCTCCTCCTTTAACCCAACCCTCTCCCTCCTGCCCACTCCTGGCTCTCCACTGAGGTGCTGCAGGAGGCACCAAAGATTCCAGTGAAGTTGTTGGCACTGATGGAATGTTTTCCCTGTGGCACAGGTGGATGAGGAGCTGGAGATCAAGGCTTACTATGCAGGTCATGTGCTTGGTGCTGCCATGTTCCAGATCAAGGTTGGCTGTGAGTCAGTTGTGTACACTGTGAGTATGCTCAGGGTTCTGGAGACAGAGCTCATCACCTCTTTGTGGCCTGTCCTCCTGTGCCTCGAGAGGATTCACAGCTCTCTCTTCTCCCACCAGGGTGATTATAACATGACACCAGACAGACACTTGGGGTAAGTAGGAGACTCAGTTTCTGTGGCTTGGGAATAGCTCTGACAGATTTTAGCCCAGTTGTGCTCACAGTAAAGGCTGAGCTGCTTTGCTCCTTCCTTAGGGAATGGGAATGTTTGGTCATGACTTTGCTGGAAAGAGAAATGCAAACCTGGATATTGATCTCATATTAATCTTCTCACTCTCTTTCCTTCCTGACAGAGCACCAATCACACACTTTAATGCTCATTTTGTTCTTACTGGCATAAGGGAGAGAGTTATTATATTTAGTCTATTTAGAGCACTATTTTAATGCATTAAACCAGGTAATAGACTGGAGTTCTTTT